ACTACTACAACTACTACTACACTGCTCTACTACTATACTACTACTACTACTACTACGACGACTACTACTACTCGACTCGTAGTACTTGCTACTACTACTACTACTACTACTACTACTACTCAACTACTACTACTACTTGCTACTACTGCTACACTATACTAACTACTACTACATGCTACTACTACTGCTAATACTTACTACTACTCACTCGTACTATTACTACTACTCCTACTGACTACTACTCTACTTCTACTCTATTCTACTTCTACTACGAACTACACTACCACTACCACTACTACTACTACTACTGCTACTACTATTGCTACTACTCCTACTACTCTACTACCTACATACTACTACTACTCTACTACTACTACTCCTCCGATACTACTACTACTACTAGTACTGCTACTACTATACTACTACCACCACTACTACTACTACTACCACTACTACTACTACTACTACTACTACTACTACTACTACTACTACTACTACTACTATTACTACTGCTACTACTACTACTACCACCAGTACTACTACTACTGCTACTACCACTACTACGTTACTACTACTACTACTACTACTACTACTACTACGACTACTACTACTACTACTACTACTACTACTACTACTACTACTACTACGGCTACTAATGCGTTTAATTCTACTACCCAATACTTTCAAGTAGTAGTAGTAGTAGTAGTAGTAGTAGTAGTAGTAGTAGTAGTAGTAGTAGTAGTACTGCTTCAGCTACGATCACTACAGCTACTACTATTACTAGGTTTACTACTACGACTACTAGTGTTACTGCGACCACTACCACTACTACTATTCATATTGTTCGTATGTCTACTACTACTACTACTACTACGATCACTCCTGCTATTATTATTCTTGTTGTTATTACGATGGTGACTATTACAACTATTATTATTACAGTTATAGACGACTACAACTACCGCGACTACTACTACTACTACTACTATTACTACTACTACTACTACTACTACTACTACTACTACGACTAAAATTAGTACTACTACGACCGCTACGACTACTACTTGTACCAGTATTTTCCAGTTTCAGTACCAGTACTACTGCTACATCTACTACTACTATTACTACGAGTACGGCTACTACTATCACCTTTTTACGATTTCTTTTCCGATTACGACTACCGCAACTACTAGTACTGCATCTACTTATGCTATTACTAGTTCTACTGCTTTACTGCTACGACTACGGCGACGACTACGACTACGAGTACGATTACTAGTAGTACGACTACCACGACGACAACTATTCTCACTACTACGGCGACCCCGTCACTCTGTTCTACCACCGCCTTCTTCTAAGACTATCCCGGTTACTACTACTACGATTACTGCTACTATTACAGCTATTGTTGCTACGACATTTACTTCTACTACAAGGATGACTACGACGACGGCTACGGCCAATACTACTACGACTACGAGTACGACTCATACTACTACTGTTGCGTCTTTATTCTTTTCTACCACCACCATTCTACGACTACTACATTTACTACGATTAATCTACTTCTACTACTACTACTGCTACTACGGCTGCAACTTTTATTGCTACGACGACTTTTACTTTTACTGATACTTCCATTATTACTACGGCTACTATTATTACTACTACTACTACCACTTCCACTACCACTACCACTACCACTACCACTCCATCTGTCACTAACACCAGTACGGCGGCGACGACAACAACAACTACTACTTCTACTGCGATTACCACGGCTTCGACTGCGACTGAAACTACGACTACTACTACGACGGCGAGCATTGCGACTCCTATTGCTACTACTGCTGCTACTACTACTACTACGACTACTACCACTACGACTACGACTACTACTACTACTACTACTACTATTACAGCTACGACTGCGATTTCTACACGATTTCTTCTACGACTGCTACTACTACTGCTACGGCTACTACTGCTACTACTACCACCACTACCACACTACTACTACTACTACTACTACTACTACTACTACTACTACCACACCACTACCACTACCACTACCACTACCACTACCACTGCAACTACCACTACCACTACGACTACCACTACCACCACCACTACCACTACCACTACTACTACTACTACTACTACTACTACTACTACTACTACTACTACTACTACTACTACTCCCACTACTACTACCACTACGAATACTACTACCACTACTACTACTACTACTACTACTACTACTACTACTACTACTACTACTACTACTACTACTACTACTACTGCTACTGCTGCTACTTCTACTGCGGCGAGTGCGGCTGCGAATCCGACTAGTTCTGCGACCACGACGACGACTACCATTATTACTACTACTACCTGTATTGCTGCTATTACTGCTGCTACAGATACTAGAATTACTGCGACTCCTAGTACTACTACTGATATTACGACGACTGCTACTACCATGCTTCCCATGTCTACCGTTACTAATGCTCTTACTACTACTACGGCTACGGCTATGACTACTACCACTATTACTACAACTACTACCACTACTACTACTACGACTACGACTACTATTACTACTCTTACTGCTACTACTACTACTTCGGCTACTGCTACTACCACTGATACTACTACTACTACGACTACTCCTACTACTACTCCTACTACTACTACGACTACTACTGCTACTGCTACTCTTGCTACTACGACTACCACGGCCACTACTATTACTACTACTACCTTTACTACTGCTACTGCTACCGCTGTTCCCATTACTATTTCTAATACGGGTCGTGCTAGTGCTACTACTACGAATGCCCGTATCTTGCGTATTCTGCTATTTGCGTTAAGTATTCGCATGTTTGTATTTCTGCGACTACCACTTGTTTATACCTGCTATTTACTATTCTTGCTACTACGAATACTTTACTACCACTCCTGGCACACTGGCACTTGGCCATTGTTACTACTCTTGCTGCTACTGCTACTACTACTTACTACGACGACGACTACTACTACGAATATTTCTAGTATTTCGACGACGACTACCACTAGTACGATCATTTGTACGACTACGACGACTACGACTACCACTGATTTTATGTTCATTATCACTACTACGACTACGGCTGCAGTTGCTGCTACTTTCACTATTGTTGCTACGACATACTCTTTCTTTCTATCCGCAACACCATTACGACTAGTACTGCGACCACACCTACGATTACTACTACTACTGCTGCTACTACTACTACTACTACTGCTACTACTGCTAGTACGGCTACGACGACTATTACTACTACTACTACTACTACTACTACTACTACTACTACTACTAATACTACTACTACTACTACTTCGGCTACTTCTAGTTGTTTGACGACTACATGTTTACTGAGCGTACTTCTATTTTGCGAGTACATTTC